TTATTGGAAAAAGGGCAACTTGTTTTGTGAAAATAGAAGATAGCGTTTGGTAGAGTTTTAGAATTATGATTTGAGAATATAGTTATATTTTGAGTTTATGACTTTTGAAATTATGATTTGAAAAGAGAAAATTTGTTTGGTTATGTGTTTTGAAAAATAGTTTTGAATTGAGTTTTGAGTTTTTGATGTGGCATATGAAATGAGAAAAATTGCCTGGCTATGAGTTTTAAAAAGAGTTTTCAAAACTTAATTTAAAAACTTATAACTCATAACCAAACACACAACTCAAAGCTTTGTTGAAAATTCTATTCAAAATTCATAACTAAACTATTTTTAAAAATCAATTAAAAAAATAATTTGTCATTTTGGTTTAAAAAATAATTTGTATATTTAAAAAATATCAAAACAAATATATATAACAAATATATATATATATATATGTATATATATTTTTCCCAAATAACAGGTGACAAATATATAAAATATGAGTTGGTTTGAAGTGATGTGATAGAGAAATGATGTGACTTAAATAGAATAATGTGACTTAAATAAAATAGTGACTTAAATAAAATAGTGACTTTTTAACTTTTTTAAAGAATACCAAACCTACGCTAAAATTAATTTCAAATCATAATTTAAAAACTTAAATCCAACATAACATTCAAAAATATAAGGATGGAATCATAATTTGAAATTCACAGCCAACACAGCCGAAATTACTCTCGTGTGTTAGTGCCAAACCACCTCTGTACTTGTTACGTCCACAGAGAGAGAGAGAGAGAGAGAGAGAGAGAGAGAGATGGCGACAGAGGAGAAGAGGATTAAACATTTCAGCCACAAGCATATGTTGGAAGCCAGTAGTTGTGAGCGTGACTGCCGAATGTGCAACCAGGACATCCCTGACGATCCCGTCTATTATTGTCCAATAGGCTGCCCCTTTGCCATCCACAAATCATGCTCTTCTACAATCCAACAATCTCTTCAGTACCACTCCTTCTACCCTCACCACTCTCTCTTCCACTCCGACCACATTCATCCCCACTCTCTTTGCAATGCTTGTGGCTCCCACTCTGTTGACATGTCTCCATAAACATGTTTCGATCAACCTTTTTGGATACACTTGCGGGGCTTGTAGCCAGTATAAAGACAGCTTTATCTATCATTGTTCCGACTATGAATTTTACCTTGACATAGCTTGTGCTTCTCTCAGCCCTAACCCTGCTGAAAACAATGAATTTGGTCAGATTCGCCGATTTAGCCATTCCCATCCATTGATTTTTTGTGATTACAAACAGAAATTTGAAATTTGTTGCTATGCGTGTGAGATTCCTTTGGGGATTCGATTTGTTTTTGCGCCGAATGCAAGGTTTTATTGCACGAATCATGTGCTGATTTACCCCACGAAATGAAGCACATGTTTCACCCAATGAACACTCTCACCCTCCGCTACCATCGGTATGGTAAATACGAGGCTTGTTTACGTCATTCATCGGGTTGTTTCTACCAATGTTCCAAGTGCCAATGGTACATGGATGTTAGATGTGCTCTGTCAAAGCCCAAAACCATGATGTCTAAAATTCACCCACACCCTCTTGCTTTGTTTAACAAGCCAAATTATGATATACTATGCACTACTTGTCGCCAATTCTGCGTTACCCCTTTCTTCCGTTGTGTGCTGTGCCATTTCGATCTCCATATCCATTGTATCTCAATATTACCACCTACACTCAAGTACTTCAATCATGTCCATACCCTCACTCTCAACCGTTCTCCAATTAAAGACTATCATGATGAAGATGATGATGCAGAGTTTTACTGTGACGCTTGCGAAGAAAGAAGAGGGCTGGCCCACCCAACTTATTATTGTAAAGATTGCCACTATGTTGCTCATTGTCATTGCACCGTATCTGAGGTACATCTGCATTCAGTTTTGCACATCAAATTAAAATTTATAAATCATATTGTTTGATTTATCTATTTATCATCACATGGAATGTATGATACATATAATTTGGTGGACTAAAGGGTCAAAATTTCCTTACCACTGTGTTTGGTTGGGAAATTTTGGAAGGGATTTGGAAAGGGAAAAGGAAATGTATGTGAAACTAGGTGAAATCCGTCTCTTAACATTTGTGATGAAAATTGAACTCTAATTCTTTTCTTTATGTTAAATATGCTAATCTAGAAAATCTGTGAATGCTTTCATCATGTTTTAACTTCTTTGTTGCTCTATATTAGCCACTCCTCTCACAAGTAAGATACATCCTGGGTCTTTTTTTCCCTCCACCATAGTCTGATGTTTTGATTGTAATGACCAAACCATTTCTCTTTCCAACTTCACGTATTCAGTTGATCAATTCATCCTTACTTTTGAATACTTACAAAGTCAAATAAATATTATCAAACATTTACATTTGTTGAGCAATTCAAAACACAATCATTATAATTTCGTAGAGTGAACATGTTCAGTTGTGAATTGAGTAATGTAATCCAACACACTATCCGCGCAAACCTGACTTCCTTGAGTTAAGACATATTCCTGCAAGTTTTATATAACATTACAAATTTGAAATGGCATTATAAAGACAAATTTGCAATTTGAAACTACAAATTTAGTATGCAATTTACGAATTTGGAATATAAAATGAAAAAAAAAAAATTTATTTCATTCGGAAGTACAATGTCGAAAAAATGCTACTGTTCGAGTGTAGTTATCCGAATTGTTTTTACCTGATCGAAAGTTGAATGTCGAAACCTTTAAATTATATTAGACGACAACTTCCGAAATAAAATAATTATTTTGGTAGTAGACTATCGAATAAATTGATATATTTCAGTCCTGGTTTTTCGAATGACACTAGAAATAAAAAAATGACTTTTACATAGCAAAACTCAAATTTCCTTGGCTATCTTTCTTATAAATATTTATTTGTTTATGAAAATCTGAATTTTCAAAAGGAAAATCTTCTATAACAATGATGAATGATGATGGGCTTTAGTGTGTAAACTAATTAAAAGCTAAGAATCAAGAATGAAAGTGTTTAGTATGTGTAAACTAATGAATGGAAGCTAACAATGAAGGGTTTGAAATGATGATGATAGAATGTGGAGGTTTAGCAAACTGAGTATGAAAGAATGGAGTAGCTACAATGGACTTGTGGAGCTTCAACGTGAGTCCGGATGTGGATGTGCAATGAGAAGTTGTGTTTATTTGAAGGGTAAATTACACTGACATCCCCAGAGGTTTATATTTATTACAGTTCCTTCCCTCACCTTTTAGAAATTACATCTCTCCCCTGAGGTTTAAAGTTTCATTACAGATTCCCTCATTCAACAATTTAATTTTTTTTAATACCAATTTTGCCCTCATTGGGTAAATTACATTGACATCCTTCACATTTTAGAAATTACAGTCCCCTCCCCAAGTTTTAAAGTAGCATTACTAATTGCCTCCTCAGTTAGTATTAATTGGAAAAAAAATTAATTGAAAAAAAAATTTGTTAGTAAAATTTTTAAATTTTTGTTTAAAAACCAACGTAAACTTATTTTTTGAATTTACGTTTTTTTCTCAAATTTACAAATTAAAACAGCCATTTATAAACCAAAAAAAATATTAAACAAATTTTTATGACAGTTTTTAAAATTCTTGTAAATATAAATTGAAAACTGAAAACGAAATAGGTACCAAACAGATCTCAAATGATAAAAATGTCGTAAAATTAACAAATAATTAAATAAGTTATCAATGTAGAAATGACTTATTAGAAGATTCTTAGGTTATGTATGGTTTGATTTTTAGAATATTTTTTAAAAAAATTAAAAATTAATTTGGTTAAGAAATAAAAAATAAAAAATAATTATCATTTTAACTTTTGGGTAGGTTACATACATACATATGGTTGTTTCAATTTAATTTGTAAAAAATTATTTCTAACCACTCAAAAGATAAAAATTATATAAAAATGATAATTAATTTTTATTTTTTATTTCTTAACCAAATTAATTTTTAATTTTTAAATTTCTTTTTTCTAAAAATCAAACCATACATAGCCTAAGAATCTTTTGATAAGTCATTTCTTATGTTAGTAACTTATTTAATTATTTGTTAATTTTATGACATTTTTACCATCTAAAACCTGTTTGGTAACCATTTCGTTTTCAATTTTCAATTTATATTTACAAAAATTTTAAAAACTATCATAAAAATTTGTTTGATAATTTTTTGTTTTATAAATGGTTGTCTCAGTTTGTAAATTTGAGGAAAAAATGTAAATTCAAAAAATAAGCTTACGTTAGTTTTTAAACAGAAATTTAAAAATTTTACAAACGAATTTTTATTTCAATTAATTTTTTTTCCAACTAATATTAACCGATGGGGCAATTAGTAATGCTACTTTAAACCTTAAGGAGGGAATTGTAATTTCTAAAATGTGAGGGGTGTCAATATAATTTACCTACTGAGGGTAAAATTGGTATTTAAAAAAATTAAATTGCTGAGCGGGGAAATCTGTAATGAAACTTTAAATCTCAGAGAGGAGATGCAATTTCTAAAAGGTGAAAGGAACTGTAATAAACATAAACCTTAGGAGGTGTCAATATAATTTACTCTTATTTGAATTATATGTGATGTCCATAATAATAATTTCACTTAGAAATAAAATTGTAACAAAAATAAGCATCATTAAATATATACAGAGTAAAATGTGTGTGCAAATAAAAACTCCCCTCTCGTCACCTCTTTTTCTATTTACTTGCGACAACCTTCTACCATGAATCATACGGCTTCGTAAGTCGCCCACCACGAACCAGTCACTTTCAATGTTAATTGTGGGGGTTTAGGATAAAAGGTAGTAATAAGTTGGGAGTGACAGGCATGGTGACGATGGAAGGCACAGAGGATAAGGGTATTATTGGAAAAAAAGAAAATTGTTTTTGTGAAAATAGAATTACTCCTCGTGTGTTGGTGCCAAACCACCCCTGTAATTCTTACGACCAGAGAGAGAGAGAGAGAGATGGGCATGGGGGCGTGACTGCCGAATGTGCAACCAGGACATCCCTGACGATCCCATCTATTATTGTTCAATAGGCTGCCTCTTTACCATCCACAAATCATGCTCTTCAACAATCCAACAATCTCTTCACCACCACTCCTTCCACCCTCACCACTCTCTCTTCCTCTCCGACCACATTCATCCCCACTCTCTTTGCAATGCTTGTGGCTCACACTCTGTTAACATGTCTGCATACACATGTTTCGACTGTTCCTTTACCCTTCACGTTGTCTGCGCTTCTCTAACCCCGACCACCAAAATCGTCCAATCTCAGATTCAGCTCCAACCCACTCACCCCCATCCCCTAATTTCATGTGATCTCAACAAGAATAAGTGTAACTATACATATACTTGCAGTAGTTGCTCTCAACCTTTTGATGATGAGCGTTCTGTGGTCTATGTATGCCTCGAGTGCAAGGGTTTACTGCACAAAACATGTGCTCAATTGCCGAGAAAGATCGATCACTCTCTTCACCCCTCTCATCCTCTCATCCTCCTCCCTCAGAAACCTCGCTTTTTCGGATACACTTGCGGGGCTTGTTGCCAGTATAAAGACAGCTTTATCTATTATTGTTCCGACTGTGAATTTTACCTTGACATAGCTTGTGCTTCTCTCAACCCTAACCCTCCTGAAAACAATGAATTCGGTCAGATTCGACGATTTAGCCATCCCCATCCGTTGATTTTATGTGATAACAAACAGAAATTTGAAATTTGTTGCTATGCGTGTGAGATTCCTTTGGGGGATTCGATTTGCTTTTGCGCCGAATGCAAGGTTTTATTGCACGAATCATGTGCTGATTTTGTTAGATAATGTCTCAATGGGACCACATAATTAAATGTGGTGTTATCATTTATAAGAAGCCTACAATTTAAGTGATTCAATTTAGTTAATAGGCTTAAGGGTATATGTGTTATGGACATAATGTGTAGATACTAGTTGTATAATTTCTATTTCTATGAGGGGCAGAAATAGAAATTAAAACATATTGGTTAAAGTTGGTTTTCATTCCTTTTAAACTTCCACAACCTTTCAGTTTTGAAAACCAATAAATAGAAATTAAAACCAATAATGGTTAAAGTTGGTTTTCATTCCTTTTGAACTTCCACAACCTTTCAGTTTTGAAAACCAATTACAACCTTTAAAAGGTTATGGTCCCTATTTCTTCCCAAGTGAAAATAAGAACACTGCCATTTTTTTTCTTCTCTAAATCCTCTCAAGGAGAAACATAAGGCACCAAAAGGGAAAGGATTAGAAGGCACTAACAAAGTCAATATCAAAGGTTTTATTGACAATCAGACGCTTCCGTTTAACCGTTCATCGATGGATTCAGGTAAGTTTTAGTCTTGTTTTCTTGATGATATACATGGTAGATGATCCGAAACATAAAGTTTCATGTTCTGAAATTTATGTTTACAAGTGGTATCAGAGCGGTTATATCATGTGTATTATCAGAATAGATATGCTTTTATTCATCCTATTTAGTTTCCTGGAATCAAGTTCTGTTTTTTGTTTTCCTGTTTTTTTTCCTCTGCTGCAAATTCTGTTTTGTTTTCTGGAAATGGAACATAATTCGGATGGATAGTTCATTTCTCAAATCTATATATTGCATGTGTTAATATATTTATATCATGTCTATATATTTATTTTTCATGTGATTTGTGGTTAAAAAAAAAAAAATCATTTTTTGGAACCGTCAATTATATATATATATATGTATATAATTGGGATTGCTGCAGATTATATAATATACGGGGTAACAAATTTAGAAATCTTTAAATTTAATGTAATTTCATACAACGTCTACGGAAATTTAATTTTTTAATATTCTAAATATAAGTCAATTCAAACAAGATGTCACAAAAGTGATCTCTCTTGTCTAGATTGTTTTATATGGAATGTTTTGATGTTCATGTATGTGTATCTCATGCGGGTATTTATCGGTCCAAAGACATGATTAAGACTTGGCAGAATTACACACACATTTTGTGGTGATAAACATGTGCCAATTGTCAAGGAAACCTAATGTGAATAATAAATCCATCAAAAGATAGATTTGTTATTTGACATAACTTATTGTCAATGTTTGATCATTACAACAAGAATACCACTTACAGTTAATATCACTACCCAAAGGCTTGGTATTAATGTTGTGCTAGGTATCTTGAGATGTTGTCATTAAATTAATTTATTTAGAGATTATCTATTTGGTAACTTAATGTGAGTATAATTGTTTATTCCTTTTATTTTCTTTTCTATTCGGCTTTAGTGTCGACTACTTCAATCTCTGCCAACATGAACAAAGGAATATATGCTCACATATAGGAGATCGGATAAGTTAGAGGTCATTGGATATTCCGACTCCGATTTTGCTGGATGCCAAGACAGTAGGAAATCCACATCAGGCTATATTTATCTGTTAGCTGGCAGAGCAATTTCTTGGAGGTCTGCAAAGCAGACGCTCATAGCTTCATCCACCATGGCTGCAGAGTTTGTAGCATGTTATGAGGCATCAAACCAAGGGATATGGCTGCGGAATATTGTCATTGGGTTGCGTATTTTGGAAGGCACTGCTGCAAGACCACTTAAGTTATATTGTGACAATAAGTCTTCAGTTTTATATTCCAATAACAACAGGAGCTCGACAAAATCAAAGCATATTGATATCAAGTTCCTAGTTACGCTTTTAGCAGGCTTGATTTCAATAAAGTATAAAGGCAAGGGTAATGTTCGCGAGTACATCATGGAAATGTCTCATCTTGCTTCAAAACTTAAGGCACTAAAGCTCGACCTATCTGATGATTTGCTCGTGCATTTAGTTCGCATCTCTCTTCCTGCACAATTTAACCAATTTAAGGTCAGTTATAACTGCCAGAAGGAGAAATGGACTCTCAATGAGCTCATTTCATTTTGTGTACAAGAGGAAGATAAATTGAAGCAAGAAAGGACTGAAAGTGCTGATTAATTTCTGCAGAAATGAAATATTCAGTTTATTACGCTCTGTTACGTATTGTGAAGTATTGATCTCAATAAAGTTAAGTAGGACCAGTTGGAAGTAGGCATATATGGATCACATCACATGTAATTTCCATGCTACGCATCCATGATTCATCTATGTCATTTAGCTGTATTAGTATACGTGACCATTGGTGGGTCGAGTTACGATTGATGTAACGAAGACCGCTTTGATCCTATATTAAGGATCAAACATTTCAGCCACAAGCATATGTTGGAAGCCAGTAGTTGTGAGCGTGACTGCCGAATGTGCAACCAGGACATCCCTGACGATCCCATCTATTATTGTCCAATAGGCTGCCCCTTTGCCATCCACAAATCATGCTCTTCTACAATCCAACAATCTCTTCAGTACCACCCCTTCCACCCTCACCACTCTCTCTTCCACTCCGACCACATTGATCCCCACTCTCTTTGCAATGCTTGTGGCTCCCACTCTGTTAACATGTCTACATACACATGTTTCGATCACCCTTTTCGGATACACTTGCAGGGCTTGTAGCCAGTATAAAGACAGCTTTATCTATCATTGTTCCGACTATGAATTTTACCTTGACATAGCTTGTGCTTCTCTCAGCCCTAACCCTGCTGAAAACAATGAATTTGGTCAGATTCGCCGATTTAGCCATTCCCATCCATTGATTTTATGTGATAACAAACAGAAATTTGAAATTTGTTGCTATGCGTGTGAGATTCCTTTGGGGATTTGATTTGTTTTTGCGCCGAATGCAAGGTTTTATTGCACGAATCATGTGCTGATTTACCCCACGAAATGAAGCACATGTTTCACCCAATGAACACTCTCACCCTCCGCTACCATCGGTATGGTAAATGCGAGGCTTGTTTACGTCATTCATCGGGTTGTTTCTACGAATGTTCCAAGTGCCAATGGTACATGGATGTTAGATGTGCTCTGTCAAAGCCCAAAACCATGATGTCTAAAATTCACCCACACCCTCTTGCTTTGTTTAACAAGCCAAATTATGGCATACTATGCACTACTTGTCGCCAATTCTGCGTTACCCCTTTCTTCCGTTGTGTGCTGTGCCATTTCGATCTCCATATCCATTGTGTTTCAATATTTCCACCTACACTCAAGTACTTCAATCATGTCCATACCCTCACTCTCAACCGTTCTCCAATTAAAGACTATCATGATGAAGATGATGATGCAGAGTTTTACTGTGACGCTTGCGAAGAAAGAAGAGTGCTGGCCCACCCAACTTATTATTGTAAAGATTGCCACTATGTTGCTCATTGTCATTGCACCGTATCTGAGGTACATCTGCATTCAGTTTTGCACATCAAATTAAAATTTATAAATCATATTGTTTGATTTATCTATTTATCATCACATGGAATGTATGATACATATAATTTGGTGGACTAAAGGGTCAAAATTTCCTTACCATTGTGTTTGGTTGGAGGATTTTGGAAGGGAGTTGGAAAGGGAAAGGGAAATGTATGTGAAACTAGGTGAAATCCGTCTCTTAGCATTTGTGATGAAAATTGAACTCTAATTCTTTTCTTTATGTTAAATATGCTAATCTAGAAAATCTGTGAATGCTTTCATCATGTTTTAACTTCTTTGTTACTCTATATTGGCCATTCCTCTCACAAGCAAGATACATCCTGGGTCTTTTTTTCCCTCCACCATAGTCTGATGTTTTGATTGTAATGACCAAACCATTTCTCTTTCCAACTTCACGTATCCAGTTGAGCAATTCATCCTTACTTTTGAATACCTACAAAGTCAAATAAATATTATCAAACATTTACATTTGTGTAGACACCCCATTTTTGACCGACCTTAAGACTCATACATCACTGATTGAGCGCTCGGTGATATTGCATATTGTGCTCGTTCAGAAGTTTCAGAGTCCCGGCTGCAAGCCTTGCCTCCGGACTTCCGGATTCTTTCGTACCTTACCTCAGTTTGCGAACCAGGCTCTGTTTTCTCTTCCCGAAGGGAGGGAGAGGTCTCATAGATCATCTCTTAGTGGCCGTAGGCTACGTTTCGTGGTCGTAGGCCATTTTTCCCGACTGGAACCCAGTTTCCGGTTTTTCAAAGCCGACGGTCGTGTGCCTTAGTTCGGGACCGCCTAACCACCTCCGTTTGCTCCGGTTTTTTGTATACACCTTATTTCCTCCCTTTTGAGGAACATTGTGACCCGAGAGACCAACTTCGTGGTCGAATATCACCTTCGGTGCTTAATAGCCCATTTTTGGGGCCCCAGGCTGCGCGTTTCGGTCCCCGAACCTCCGTTTTGCATCCGTTTTGGTTCATTTTTGGTGGAGACCTTATTTTCATTGTTAGAAAGCTTGTAGGAGGGTGGAAGGCCAGTAAGTTTTCTAAAAAGCCAGTTTTATTTCTTCATTGCTCTCCGTCACCCGTTTTCCTCACTAGAAAGCTAATGTTGACTACTCCTGGGCCACTTTCTTTAGCCCTAAACCCCATATTTGTGTTGTACACACCTGGGAGGCTACCAATGTGAATAGGCCGGCCAGTAATTATTTCTGACCCTTTTGAACCCCTCTAAAAAGTTGGCTTTTCTCTCTCCTGGTTCATATTTTCTAGGTTTTGACCACATAGTTGTGTTGTGCACACATGGGAGGCCACCATTTTGAGGTGGCCGGCCAGCAATCTTCATTGACCCTTTTGACCCCTGGCCGGCCGGCCATGGGGGGGTGGCCGATCGGCCACCTGAACCTTTTGAACCTGGTCGGCCATCTTTGCCCTCCTGAGTGTGTTCCAGTTGTGCCAGCTATTCTGCATTTGACCCACTGTCCGAGGGGCTGCCGTTTTGGGGGGAAATTTGAATTTGTTTTCCCCCCCTTTCCTTGACCTCTCGCCCTCTATATAATACACCCTTAAGCCTCATTTCTAAGGTTTATAAAACCAGCTGAAGCATACACCCTTCCCTCCTCCATTGCTCTCCATTTTCAAGCTCCAAGCACCCATTGTTCTTGACCTTTACACACCACCTCCAAGCCTACAACCTCCACACTCCATTCCAGCAACTTGAGGCTGTTTTTCAGAGGTTAGGAGCACCTTTCCTTAGTCCAAAAGCTGCTGAAGACTTGTGCTACAAGGGTGAGTCCTCCTCTCCCTCTTTTTTTCTCTATTTTGCATGCAATCTTAGCCTTTGTTGCTCACATTTTTGAGCTCCGACCTGAACTGTAAACAGTCATATTTTGAGCTCCTTTTCATGTTTGATCAAGGACCTCTTGCTGTTTGAGGTCTCCTACTGCCACTTGCCTCTTTATCTCTCTCTTAGGCCCTTTTTTCGCATGGTATTTTAGTCTTATTTGTGAGCTGTTTTAGACTTGGTCATAAACTGTAAAATGTTTTTTTTTTTTAGCCCCTCTTCAACTTTGTTGAAGGGCTCTCCTCTGTTTGAGGCTAGCTGCTACCACTTGTCTCTTTATCCCTCTCTTAGGCCTTTTTCTTGCATGTTGTTTTAGCCTCACTTGTGTTTATTTTCGAGACTTGATATAAATTGTAAAGTGCCTTGTTTTGAGCCCCTCTTCAACTTTGTTGAAGGGCTCTCCTCTGTTTGAGGCTAGCTGCTACCACTTGTCTCTTTATCCCTCTCTTAGGCCTTTTTCTTGCATGTTGTTTTAGCCTCACTTGTGTTTATTTTAGAGACTCAATATAAACTGTAAAGTGCCTTGTTTTGAGCCCCTCTTCAACTTTTTTGAAGGTCTCTTTGCCATTTGGGGTCAGCTGCTGTCCCTTGTGTTTAATCTCTCTTTTAGGGCCATTTTTGCATGATAGATTAGCCCTATTTGTGTTCGTTTTTGAGGCTTGTTATAAACTGGAAATATGCATGTTTTGGGACTGTATTGCATCTGCCTTCATGCTTCATGATCAAATAATGCATGTGCCTAGTTTCGAATTTTGGGGTTCATTCCATGCATCGGGTGCCATGTTTCCGGGCTGTTTTGTGTCATATTTCAGCGCTGAAATTCGCATGTTTGCATATCATGTTCCATGCCTTGCCATGCTTTGGGTAAAGTGGCATTTGATGCCTTAGGCTTGGTCCTCGGTTTGCGTGCATATGTGCACGCATTTCGAGTGTCTCATTTTCATCTCATGGCTACTGATGTGAGTGTGGCTGAGGTCCACTCACAT